TCCAGGCCGCGGAGGCGGGGTCCAGGCCACAGGGCGATGAGCGATGCTCTGCCATCCCCGCGACTTCCCCTGACAGCTGACGCACACTGGCATATCAGCTGCAGGTGTCCAGCACAGTGCTTAGACGTTTCTATGACTCAGGAAGTGACCACCCCGACACATCCTGTCCCCACCTGACGCCACACGCGGTTATCACAGTGTCACTGACTACGTTCCTGGGCCGTGCTGCGCAGCCCTGTGACTGTTTCGTAACTGCCAGTTCGAACTCATCCCTGTCACCTTTTCACCCACCTGCCAACCTCCCTCTCACCTGGCAGCCATCGAAATGTCCTCTGTGCCTGAGCTTGTGTCCGTTCTGTTTGTTTGTGTTTAGACTCCACACGTAAGTGAAATCACATGGCGTTTGTCTTTCTCTAGCTCCGTGCGGCACGAGACCCTCCAGGTCCATCCACGTTGGTGCAGGTGGCGAGATTTCATCCTTTTTGTGGCTGAGTGATGTTCCGTCATATGCACGTGCCACCTCTTCTGTATCCATCATCCGCGATGGGCACCCAGGCGGCCTCCATATCTTGGCTGCTGTAAATACTGCTGCACTGAACACGTGGGGTCACGTGACTTTCTACGTAGTGCGTGTGCTTCTTCAGATAAATACCCAGAACTGGGATCACTGGCTCTTCTTTGTCTCTTGTCATGGCCTTTGTTATAAAGTCTATTTCGTCTGGTACAAGGATTGTTACCCCAGCTTTTTTGTTGTTTTCATTTTCACGAAAAATCTCTTTCCGTTCCTTTGCTTGCCGTCTGTGTGTGTCTTTCAATCTGAAGTGAGTCTCTTGGGAGCAGCACGTGGAAGGGTCTCATTTTTTTATCCATCAGCCACCCTGTGTCTTTGGATCGGAGCTTGTAACTCATTTACATTTAAAGTAATTGTTGATAGATATGTAGTTATCGCCATTTTATGATTCATATTCTTTATCTTTTTTTTTTCTTCGTGAGTTCCTCTAACATTTCTTATAGTATTGGTTTGGTGGCGAAGAACTCCTTTAGCTTTGTCTTGTCTAGAAAGCTCTGTATCTGTCTTCGATTCAAAATGATGACTTTGCTGGGTAGAGTCATGTTGGATGTAGGTCCTGGCTTTTCATCACTTTAAATATTTCCTGCCAGTCCCTTCTGGCTGCAAAGTTTCTGTGGAGAAATCAGCTGACAGTTTTATGGGGCTTTGGGTTTGTGGGCCTTTGTGAGATTTTAGGAAAGTCCGCAGCATGAGCCAAGAAGGCCATTTGTGTGGAAAAGCCACTGGAGGCGGCTTGGGGGGCCCACACGTGGGGAAGGGCAAGGCCTCAGGGAATCACCTGGGCAGAGCGAACGGCACCAGCCAGGTTGATGGAGACTTAGATATGGCGCCTACTTGCGTGTACAGGCTGGGTGGGAAGGACCCAACAAAGGGACAGTGGCCTCTGCCAGCCGCCCCTCCAGCCCTCGCCCTGAAGCAGACAACTCAGTCCCTCCCCGAGTGTCCCTGACGCCTTTCGAGCTGCGTCCCCAGCGCTGGAATCAGAGCGAGCAAGTCCATCAGTCCATCAGCGGGTTCTTTAAGAGGACACTTAGCACTTCCGCCGCCCTCCGCGTCACTCGGCCACCATCCCTATGGGTTTTCACAGCAAGAAGCTGTGAGAACTTCTCTTCCTGGCACTGCAACTTCAGGCTAGGAGCCCGGTGTGGGGCTGGGACCCCTCACTTCTCCGGGGGAACCTCCGTAGCTGAGACATTTCTCCCGATGCTCAGCCACCACACACAGGTGTGGGACCAGCCTGTTCATGTCCTTAGTTGTAGGACTCTGTTCCATAGACTTCAGGCGGTTCTCAGTGACAGCTGTTCTGTGGTTTAGCTGCGATGCTGAGGTGGTCATGGGGGGAGGCGGCACTGTGGTCACCTGCTCCGCCATCTCTACTGGCAGCCTCCTTTGACTTTGGTATTTGCTTAAATTTTTTTTAAATCGTAAAATGTCCAATAATGCTCCTCCTCCCCCACCCCCCCGCCCCGAGATAGGCCCCGGGGGAAGTTAAAGAAATGACTTTTCTATTATTTACCCCGAGTCTCTTTCTTTAAAGCAAAGATCCGAGGGTGGTCACTTCTGCTTGGGGAGTACTGAGGGCTCCCAACGTTTGGAAGCCGCTGTGCATGAGACCAGGCCTGGCTTCTTCACAGAGAAATATTTTGTTGCCATCGCAATTCTTTTCCACTCTTCAAATTTATGGGCCTGGCTGCCCTTCAGGCTTCCACTGGCTGCGTCCGCTCCCGCTGGCACCGGCCTCGGTGCCCGCACGTGACTGCAGTGAAATGTGCTTGCCGCAGCTTGAGATGGCTCTTGCCTTTTCTTTCCTCGCAGCCCCCAGTGTCTGTCTTTCTGGGACCCCAGGCAGCGCTGCACACGGGGCAAGGGCATGGCAAAGTCTAGCGAGACTGGTAGATGCCTTTCCACAGCCAAAACACACACCCTGCCCGCACGGCGCTAGAAGGCAACCTTACACGTAAACGAATCAAACCACATTAGATTGTGTTTATAAATAGAACGTTCTGGGGACATTGTTAATTGCTAATCAAACATTAGGTATGTCCTATAAAAATGCCAGCCACGTGATTTCGGCATCCCGAGATTTTTAGTTCCTAAGAAGGCCGGCCTGGCTCAGAGCTTGGCCCACCCAACTTGTAACCAGGGTGAGTAAACATTTCCATTCTAGCTGAAATACCTTCCCCTTATGCTTCCTAGTTTTTTATTTCCTCCTCCAACTCAGAAGTAAATTGCAAGTACCAATTTTAGCATTATAGGAATTTCTCATCTAACCTAAAAAAGGAAACTCTTGGCACCTTGGGAGCTGGCACACACTTCTCCGCAGTGAAGACACAAGAAAGATTTCGGAGCTGGAATAAAATGTGCCTTTTTCTACCCAAGATCAAAGCTCCCCACACTCAGTGCTCAGACCTGGGGGCAGCAGGCACTTGGTGGCCCTCCGGCCCGGACTTCTGGCCGCTCCGAACCTCCTGCAGGGTGGCTGCCTCAGAAGTCACTCAGCCCCGGTCACCTCTGCGTGCGTCCCACTTCTGCTGCTGCTTCTCAGGACAAAACCTGCCTTCCCGTGTGGACGTGTCGTTGTGGGCACGGGACTCGGAAGAGACTTCGGTCAGGTGGGAGCAAACGGCCGAGGGCCCGGGGAAGGGACACGGGCTGACTGCGGGCGTGGCACCCCCTTCAGCCAGGCGGTCCCTTCCACACCGACCCCACTGCCCCATGTCCCACCACCCACCCTCGTGTCCCGCCCGGAGAGGGGCAAGCACACCCGCCGCCAAACGGACCCTGGCGTGAGGGCGGGGCGGTGACGTCACCCAGGCGCCACCGTCCATCTCTCCCTGTGACCTTCTTCCGCCGCAGCAGCGGAAACCAGGGAGATCTCGTCGCACCGGCTCAGGACACGGCCAGACGGACACCCGACACCTAGCGTCGGGTTCTCAAACAGACTCTTGTGGCAGGGAAAGCCAGCTGAGCGAGGCCTCAGGGACGATGGTGACGGAGAGTCACTCCCCTGACCGCGTCCCCTCCTGACCTGGCGAACATGCCGGCGTCCAGAACGGGGACGGGGAGAAGCCGGGGCCGAGCTCTGTGCTGTGTCCGTTTCCCCTCCCGCTCTCCCTCGAGCCCGCTTGGGAGGTCGCGGCTGCGGGAACCTTCCTCGGAGGCCCGTCCCCTGTCAGGCCCTGCGAGGACGCTGTGACGGCCGTGGAACCGCGCCCGGCACGGAGGCCTCCACAGCAGGGATGGGGTGCAGGGAGGCCCACGTCGGCGTTTTCCTCGCCTGCCTCCCACGCCCGGAGCCTCCGGATCGCTCGGAGAACTGGCTCCGGAGCCAGACGGCTAAGGAGAGCACACTGCCGTGGTTGTCACTTTTTTTAACTTCCAAAATATGCTCTTGAGAATCCAAACGGGAGGCGGGGGTGGGGACCGCGGCAGACGCGGAGGCGTGGCGGCCAGAGGCCCGGACGAGGCGGCCTCCGACCCGGGGGCCATCGTGGACAGCCGGCCTGGCACTGGGGACACCCCGGCCGCCCCCCGCAGCTCCGGGACAGCTCCTGAGAGCCTGGGGCCAGTGCCCGCAGACGGAGCCTCAGAAGCCGCCCCGCCGTCTGCTCTCTGCCTTGCCTTCCGAGAGTGTCACCAGTTGCCATCGTGAACTTTCCAGCAGCGTTCCCCCCGTCTGGCTGCCACGGTGAGCCTGCGCAGACCTGTCCTCGCAGACACCCTCTCCCGCTCACGTGCACAAGGCTCCTCTGCGTCTTCCCCAAACACAGGTGTGTCCTGGACACCTGGGGGCGGCAGTGGGCGTGGCAGGGAACTCTTCGGGCTTAGCGTTTGGACGTGCAGGACACACACTGTCACAGTATGTGTCAGCGTCCCACTCGGCATGGGCTCCGGGGGGCAGAGACGAAGCCCTGCTCCAGGCCCGTCCTAGCAGCCTGGCCACCCCCATCTGCCGCTGGCCTGCAGCAGGGTGACGTCCATGTGTCCCCTGCCCCCAGAGTGGCTTGTCTCCCCACACTGCCACCGCAGGGCATGTGCTGACCGCCGTTTCTGCTCCGCGTGAAACGGCTCCCGCCTGGACTGGGCGACCTTTAGGAAAATCGCCCGAGGACCCTGGCCTTGGAAAATCAGTTCTTCTCTCTCACGAGAGAATCGCTTTCCCCCCTTCAGAGTCCCTTCGTCGTCGTGGACTCCGTCGTTCTGTAAGATGAACCCGGCCGTCCCTTCTTCCCTGCCTGCCTGCCCCGCCTCGTACGGCCTGGGTCACGCGGCACAGCACATCACCGAGGAGCCGGCCTTGCTTCTCGGGGGGTTGCTCTGGGTCAAACTGTGTCCCCCACCAAGTGTGCACGCTGAAGCCCTAACCCCGCGGCTTAGGAGGGGACGTCACCTGGAGATAGAGTCATAGCAAAGTAAGTAAGATGAGGTCATGGAGAAGCGGGGGGCCCTAGTCCGATACGGCTGCCGTCCTCGTACAGAGGGGACCGTCACGCACACGGAGAGCACCCGCGAGGACGACGACGGCAGAGACCCACGAGGGTGGCCAGCAGACCAGCAGCGTGAGGGGCAGGCCTGGCACAGACGCCCCCGGCC